GTGTAGCATTAGAACTAGTTAATGGTTGCTAAAGCACATGGCTTTTATAGCTGGAAAGCATAGCATAGCCCAATGATTAAGGGATTATATGCATTACAGCTGAACAATTTAAAAAATGGCTTGAATCCTGTGAAACTGCTCCCCTTCGTTTTCTCTCTTCTCCAACACTCACTTCCTGTGCCCCTAGCACTTCTGCATGTGTAAGAGATCCTTGAAGAGCGTGGCTCTTGTGCATGCAGAAATTCTTGTGGGCAAGGAAAGCCTCAGCAGCAGTCAGAAATGCGAGGAGTATGATTTCATAGGAACCCAAGCCCATGAAGCCTCAATCTTGTTTTCTTGCACTGTCTGCACTGAGGTAGAGGAAATAGGATTGTGATTTGGTCTTCTTAATTTGAGATAAAATTTCTTGCCAAAATTGTTGTATAGTTATACACTTCCAGGCACCTGGTATTTTTGGCCACTGTGTGACAGAGTGTTGGACTGGATGGGCCATTGGCCTGCTCCAACATTGGTTTCTCTTATGTTCTTATGTTGAGGAGAAGCTCTCACAGTCCTAAGGATAGAGGGCATGGAACAGCATCCCTGATGAAAACCATTAGAAGTAATATTGAAGCATTTTGATGGCTAGTCACTGAAAGGTCTGTTCTCAGTGGTTGGTCTCAACTGTATTAATCCCATTACAGGCAAGAAGGGCACCATGCCAAGTTCGTGGGGACTTACTAAAGAGCTGTTTCTGATCTAAGCCTGGAGAGAGTTTTGTTTCAGGAAGATATGCTCTGACTGGTTCTGTTTCTTTTGATGCCTCACAGAATGATCCCAGTCTACCAAATGCCCAAATCCCTTAAACTCACAGAATACAGTCAGTCTATGTTGGCAAGGTGCCACTACTTCATCCCACCCCCCAAAAAACCTGTTTGACCAGCACCAGCACCTACTGTGCTTTCTTCTTCTCCAACAGCCCCTTATAATGGCAGTCTCTTTCTGCATTTTTGCAGCTGAAGACCAGACCCCACCCCTTCAGTGCATAACATTCTCAGAGTACAGCTTGCATCTTGATATCAGCACCAGTGCAGCTCCTTCCTGTGGTATTCACAGATTGATTGCTTCTTCCATGATGAAACCTGAGATTCACCAGGTTCTGGAGACAGTTTTTGTGTTTGGGCACTTGACCAGTGAGAAAGGCTTTAACTGGTCATCTTATTGACTGGTATGGCAACCTTATTTTGCATACATAAAGAAATTAGCACCGGGCTGGTGGTTCATACTGCCAGGCTTGTAAATCACCATTTGTTTACTTGCCTGCAGTGAGTAAGAATTGCCTTCCAATGACCAAACACACCCAGACCATCACTGAACCTTGCAAATGTCATCTGCTGGGAAAATTAATTCTGCAATATTGTTGGATTCTCTCCGCTGTCTGACCAGCCCAGATGAGAACTGGGAAAATCCCACTGGCAAATTCACAGCTTTTCTCAAGCCTTCCCTATCCTGAGAGATTATACCAGAATCCCCAAGACTAAACTAATCAAATTCCCTTCTACTTTACATTCTGCTATTTTTTTCAGTGGGAGGGGGAAGTTATTGCAACCTTTTCCACCAGAAGTAGCCCAGCTTCTTAATAAAACCCGCCAGTCTTCCTGCTGCTTTCTCTTCCTCTCACTGTGGGAGGGGAAGACAGGCTGTAGGTCTTTGATGTGCAGCCCTGTAAAACCCATTGATGATGCCTTGTGTGTGCGCTCATGTGAGTCAGGACCAGCTCCAGTTCCCTTTGAAGTGCTCCATCGGTCAGGATGAAAGTGTGTGTGTGGGGGGGAAGAGTCCTTCCCAAGTCGTCAGGCCTTAATTGCAGGTAATAGTGGCTCTCAGTATCCGAGAGTGGGAGGGCAGCATCCCTCTTTTTGCTAATCCTGCAACAACATTCTGGGTTCCTGTAGTGAAAGGAAATAGCACACAGTGAACAAGCTGGAGAATGAAGGCTGCACATCAGGAATTGCTCTGGAGCTATGAGAAGGCATGATGGCTATAGAACCGACCCTCTTGGGAATGAACAAGGCGTTCCTGCTTGAATACCACCAGGTGCCTTTGCTAGGGGCGGCACATTAACTAGGCTTTTTAGAAAAGATTTGGCAATGTTTTCTTGTCCTCTATCCAAACTGCACACTCTGTTTTTGTACATTAGGTATGCATGCACCAGAATGATTGTGATATGGGAATGGCTGAGAGTCTGTGTGGTGTACTGAAGTACCACATACAATTCTGGTCACCATATCTCAAAAAGGATATTGCAGAGCTGGAGAAAGAGCAGAAGAGGACAACCAAGATGATTAAGGGGGTTGGAGCCCCTTTCATATGAGGAAAGTCTGGAAAGTCTGTTTAGAAGAAATAAATTCAAAAAAGACCAGCGAGGAGGGAAATTACATATGTTTATAAAATTACGTATGGTGTAGAGAATGTGGATAGAGTGACTTATTTTGCCTTCTCCCAAAATCCTGGGGCACCCAATGAAGTTGATGGGCAATAAATTCAGGATGGACAAAAGGAAATACTTCTTTACTGAATTAGTAATTGTGGGTTTCACTGCCAGTGGACGTGGATTTCACTGCCAGTGGACATACTGATGACTTTAAAAGGGGATTAGACAGATTTATGCAGGAGAGGTTCATTAGTGGCTACTAGCCATGGTGACTAAAGGAAACTTCCATCATCATAGGTAGCAAATCTCTAAATACCAGTGCTAGGAGACAACATTTACCTCTACATTTGCCCTGTTTACTGTCTCTCCAGGACAACAGGTTGGTTACTGTATGAAGCAGGATGCTAGACTAGATGGACCACTGGTCTGATTCAGAAGGGCTCTTTTTATGTTCTCATGATGTAGTGGTTAGACTGGGACTGGGGAAGCCTGGTTTCCCATTCAGACATGAAGCTCATTGTGTGACCTTGGGCCAAGCTTTCTCTTTCAGTCTAACCTACCTTGCAGGGGTTGTTGAGAGGATAAAACAAGAGGAGGTGGGAACCATGTATGCTGCAGTGGGCTCCTTGGAAGAATGGCAAAAAAGAAAGGCTAAAAAGGTACAGGCAGCTTAATTTCCCTTCCATGTACTTCCCAATGTATAAGCCGGGGGTGGTGGTAAATTCTTGCTTTACAGAATAAATAGAATAAATTAAATTGGCTTGTCCAAAGATACAGTATTTAGGAACTGAATTGACCCTGATTTCCTTGCTTCTCTGGAATTTGCAAACACTTTGGCTTGTAGAGTTTGAAGATAAGCTCTGAAATCAGCAAGGCAGAAACCTCAGCAAAATGGAATAAGCAGTGTGGCTGTTGAATGGAAGTTGTTTGTGTATTTCTATCACAGCATTAGGGTACATCATACTTTACAGATACATGAGCAGATGAAAGGTCCTTGTCCTAATGAGCTTCCAGACTCAATAGACGTGATGGAGAGAAGCAAGAATATCAAAGGATGAATGTTAGCAAAGGACTTTGGTTCGCTGAGTTGGAGATGAAGGGATGAAGCCTGCTACTCCTAAATTTGTTTCGGAAGCTTCCTCAAAAATCATTGGGCTAGCCCATCATTATACATAAGTTTCCCTACTGGAGCAAATAGAGGACCCCGGGGCCATTTCTGGTTGGGAAAATGGTGCAGGGCGAAGACTTAAGCGTCCTCTCCTCATGTGCCATGGTTCAGATCTGAACTGGGCGCCCATGTACCTGGGAATTGTGTTCAGTGCACAGACCTCCCAGAGCACATCTGGTTGACAGGACCAGGGTAGATATGGGGGTAGCGGAAGGACATAAGGACAATTTAAGGTCTTCATGCCTTGTTCCTTGTTGGCTAAACCTAGAAGATACTGTCACCACCAGTGCATATGACAGTGAGCACATGAAATGAGAAATCGGGTCTGTATGCCAACAGGCTTCAATTTATGGCACCAATAAAAAAAACTGCCATTGGGCCATCGCAGGTTCTGCCAAGCAGATGTGCTCCAGGAGTTTCCTGTTGAATTGTAATCTCTTGGGTATGTAGGGTCCCAATTTGAGCCTTCCCTTTTTCCATGACTTTAAACAGCCCCAGGAGCTGCTATTTCCCCTGTTGCTTACACAAGTAGCACATCAGTTTGACAGGTCCCAGAGCTGTTGCAAAGTGGGTCTGTAAACAGTGTAAATACTGCACCAAGTATTAGCTATCCAATTTAGAACACTCACTAAACGTAGCTGGCTTCCGAAGTCAAGCAGGCAAAATGGGCAAAGCTGGAATGCTACAGAGACAAGCTTATGCTGCTGTCTCCCTCACCCCAAGATTAAGACAACCAAGGAAGACTCTTATTTTGGAAATTAATATTTCCCCCCCTGCTTGGTTGGGCAAATGGGGAATAGCTGTGGGAGAACATGCAATATGATTTAGAACTATTGTAGATGCTCAAACCCTGTGTTATGTATTGAGCTTAAGCCATCCCTGAATGTGGACCTTGAACTGGGTGAGCTTGCTCCCCAATAACAATAGCGGACCAGGATTCTGGAATCAACCTGTAGATAAACGGTGTAATGTAAATAGCCTATCCTTGGGAGTGTGTGTGTGTGGGGTGGGGTGTTTGCATGCTTTATAAGCAGGGCTCAAACCCTGCTGGGTGTCCTTGTTGTGTTCCTGAAATTACTAAATAAACTAGAGCTGATCGCTACTATGCATCCAGAACCCAGTATTTAACATCATGCCTATTTATGTGAGGGTACTGCTCCCAAATTGCAACTGGAGCAGCAAAGTGGTTGCATATCATGGGCACTTGTTTCCTGTTCTTCTCCTTGGCATGATGGGGCCATTAATAACCTGTAAGAAAACCACACCATGCAAAAATGCATCGTCTCTCTTGGGACTGCAGAGGAGGAAACCATAGTAATGGTGTCAGTTTCATTCTGTCCTGATGTAAGAGTACAAGGAAAGCAGCTAGATGAGTTCTTCAGCAGTGCCAACACTTCTATTATTGTCCTTCATTGCTAGATCTCCACTTCATCGGATACGGCTTCAGTCAAAGAAGAGGAGATTCCGCGGTCTAACAGAGTACGGAACCTAAGGCAAAACGGACAGGTCACGCCACGCCGGCATAAACGCCGTTGGCCATCACAGCATGTGACAAGGAACCAGTTAGCATCGCTTCAGCCTGGTGGTACAATCCAGGAAGAGAGTACGCCTTTTGTGCTGGATTTACAGAACCTGCCGGGTTTAGCTAATGTGGATCTGAGTGCCCAGAACCCAAACATACAGGTAAGCCTGTGAACTGTTGGGGGCTTTACGTGTTAGACTGAGGACAAAATAAGGGTGAGCATAATCCATCATTAACTTTAAACCATCCCACATTATTTGGGGGGAGCTGGTCTTGACTTGAGCTAACAGACTGGTAGCAAGTAGAAATTTCATAGTTTGTAGAACAGCCACCAAGAATGACTCTGTAGATGCCCGTGCTGTCTGGTCGTGGTGCATAAATGGAGACAACCAAATGGTCAGTCTTAGCAATTACATTCAGACATGGAAGAGACTGCAACATCTTAAATATGTAAGAGTTGTTTGGGGCTTTAACCTGAACTTTGTGCTAAAGGCTCTTGGCGATGTTACTATGAAGTCTTCCCAAGCATTTGTGCCCATTAAGACAGCTGGCCAAAGCATTCTTTGCTAGTCATGGCTTCCATATTCTTATGAAAAGCTGCTGCTGCTGTCTTGGATGGAGCACATAATAGTCTAGCTGAGCCTTGCATATAAATGCACAGGAGTTGCTAACTCTGGCCATTTTTGCTAGCCCATTTGCTGCATATACTGAGGTAAGCCATCTACATCCTGAAAGAGGGAAAAGAAATCCACTTTACAGAAACTTCCCTGCTAGGTTGGGGTCAGTTCGTATTTACCATAGGCCAATTGCTATTTACTGGCCTCAGGGTTATGAAGGTACAGATTATATTATCTAGCCTGAAGCCCCAGAGATGGCTGCAGTTGGGCTTAATTTGATCTAGGAGTGGGATTGCTAACAGGCATGGAGAAAGGGTGTCCTGTCTCTTTAATTGAGGTTTAATTGGTGGAATTGAGCTGCTGAAGCTTTTCATGGCATGAAGGTAAATAACATCCCATTAAGCTATTAAAGGGACAGAACCCTTTTCCTCCAGGCCAGTTGGCAATTACAGCTAGCACAACAGGCAAAGGTGATGAAAAAGGGTATGTACCACAGAAGATATCTGTGACTCCATCTGCAGCCATGGATTTAATATGTTCTCCCAGCTGCAGATCTGCTCTTCCTGGGGCATATACCTGTTTCCAGAACAAGCTGACTAGGAGCTTTTCTGTCTTTTGGATTGATCTTTAATTTGTTGGCCCTCATTCAGTCCATTACTGCCTCCAGGCAGTGGTTTTGAGCCTCCATAGTCTCGCCTGAATCTGATGGAAAAAAGAGAGACTTGGATGTCATCCACATATTGGTGACTGTTGATTCCAGGGGAGGAAGAGGATGATAAAAAAGGTGAGAGGCCTTGCAGAAAGTAGGATTAGGAGATCTATATGAGAAAGTGGTTTTGTCAGGAGCTTTCTGGAGAAGTGGCTGTATGTATGTCACTCAAGAGAGAAAATTTAATTGGTAAGATGGCCAAAGATATGGAGATTCTTGTGGATGAGATGTTTTGTCACTGTTAAAAGGGTTCCCTCAGTGGAATATTTTGCTTCTGCTTATCCAGCTTCTGAAACATTTCTTCTTGATATCTTGGCTTCCAGGTGACCATAGAGGTAGTAGATGATCCTCAGGCTGAGATGGAGATGGACCTTCTGAAGGAAACCAGCAATGACTGGTCTCTGACTTCTTCTGAATGGCTGTCCCACAAAGACCTCTTTTGGCCCCTCTTCTGGGAGTACACAGACCCTGTGGAGGAGAGGGATGAAGACGGCAACTTGGATATAAGGAACCGAAAGGAGGAAGAGGAGGAGGAGGAAGAAGAGGAGGAGGAAGAAGACTATACATCAGAGTATGATGATGAGGAGACGGTTCTGAGTGGAGTGGGAGGGGACTGGGACCAGAGGTGGCCCAATCAGAAGAACTGGATCTTTAAAGAGAAGTACAATTATGGTGAGCTTCCTTTCACTACCCACGGTAGGTTTGTAGAGCTGAACTAGGGAAGATGAAGAACATATCTTTTCAGTGGAGCAAAGGGTGTGCTTGCATTTCAGTACCCCTGGTTGTTTCTGTTCCTCTCCAGCTCCCATGAAACTCAGAAGCCTAGAATTAGCCAGTAGAATTAATCCAGCATGTGAAATTCTTAAATGCCCCTTGTACAGAAGCCTTATGTAAGTTTCAGGCGCTTTCTGTTTTGTGAGTCTAAGGTCATTTGTGAAGCTGATAGGTATGGGCTGCTCTGTAGGACACTATTGCCCTGTGCAGAGCAAATGGAACAGAGGCCTTCAGGTAACCTGTTTAGCCCCTCCCCTGGAATGGAGCAAAGAGCAGCAGGGGAGGAGGTGTTTGAGTTCAGAAACATGACACAGGGCAAGGGTGCTTCCTTGGCTGTTATTTATCGTAAACACATGTTTAGGCGATCCATTCAAGGATCTCCCAGTGTCTTATACAATTTGGCCATAAATGTGTGTGTGTGTTTTCTGCTCTGGATCCATAGACCAAGTGTCTATGCAATGTGCTGTGTACATGCACAGAAAGAACCTTTGCCCCACTTTCCATGTGGTATAGTATGCATGCATTTCCCAACAGGGAAGGTGGGAAAGTAACATATAAAGTCTTAAAGGTGCCACTGGACTCAGGCATGAAGTGACCGCAACTCAAGGACTGAAAAGATTAGAACCTGTAATTAAGTAATCCCTGGAAATTTAGAAATCTGCTTGCCTGTGATCAGATCGTGCAAAGCAAAGACTAGGTGGCTTTGATCAGATTGTGGAGTTGTGTGCAAAATCCCAATTTTCAAACAAACAAAAAAGTTAGTGTCTTAAGCCATGTTTTGAGAGAACTCACGTACACACTGATCCCTCTTCTGAGTTCCTGATTGTAGCATTATATGAGGAAAGAGATGTGTGCTGCTAGGTGAGAGAAGTAAGCCCAAACTAGTAATCCCAACACCAGTGAACCCAGTCTAGTCTTTTCAGACTGTGTGTGCCATTGTCCTCCTTTTCCCTTCCCAGACTATGAAGATGAAGAGGAATGGAGCTCTTGGTCCCCCTGCAGTGTCACTTGTGGCAGCGGCAGCCAGAAGAGAACCCGGTCTTGTGGTTATGCTTGTACTGCCACAGAGTCAAGAACCTGTGACCTGCCCCGCTGTCCTGGTATGCCTTTCAGTCCTCCTCTGCTTTGGGGGCTGCCTCTGTGCAGTGAAATGCCTCTAAACAGTTCAGGTCCACCAGCTTGCCGCCAAATTGGATTGGATCCCGTGGAAGATTTCCATAGAGGGAAGGGGGGAGTGATTTCAGATTATTAGCCGCCGCCCCCTTCTGCTTCAGATCTCTAGCTCTCCTTCATGCTATTACTGTGGGAGGGGTCCCCTTTCCTCCAGGGGTAGCATTTTGGCTAAGCGAGGCAGGGAAGTCCTGCTCTGTGGATGTATATCTCTTCTGACCACAGAAATCTCCATTAGACCCAAGCTATTTGCCCACTGAGCTACTTCCTTTCTTGATTTTGAGATGAGCAGCAGTCTTAGCCTGTGGCATCCAAAATAACACAATGCATTGTGGCACTTTGGTAACTTGTCACTTGTATTAATGGCATAAACTTTCATGTGCTACAGCCTAAATATGCTGTGTCTCATGAAAGCTTATGGTATAATAAAGGTGTTCGGTTTTTAAGGTGCCACTGCATACTTTATGCCCTGACCTGGACAGCCCAGGTTGACCCAATCTCGTCAGATCTTGGAAGCTAAGCAGGGTCGGCTGTGTTAGTATTTCGATGGGAGACCACCAAGAAAGTCCAGGGCTGCTACGCAGAGGCAGGCAATGTCAAGCCACCTCTGAACATCTCTTGCCTCGAAAACCCCACAGAGTCACCACAAGTTGGCTGTGACTTGACAGACTTGATTTTGAAGGAGGAGGACCATACCATTTTTCAAACATTCTGGAAGGATGGAAGGGAGAGCCCAATAAAAAAAATGCAGAATTTCTGCTTTCTCTTTGTGCCTCTTATTTGATCACTGGTTGAAAGGCAGCATCTTCTGCCTTTCCTGTCTCAGTCTAACCTAAAGAGGATTTGAACACCTGAAGCTGCCTTCTGCTGAGGGTATCAAGGGCAGGCACTGTTTATGCTGGCTGGCACCGGCTCTCCAGGGTTTCAGGGGGGGGGGGGTTTCCTGATCACCCACTACCTGAACTTTTAACTGCAGGCAGGACTGGGGATTGAACTTGCTGTGCACAAAGCACAAAGGGATCCCGAGCCCCTCCCTTAAAGGTGTCCCTTTCAGGATCAGTCTGATAGTTCTTCTTGTGGCTTTTAAATCACTGATTCTGATTATCAGCTTCACTACTTCTTTTCTCAGACTCTTGATATATTGAATACATCAGGACAAAGCCACTAACTTACCACAGTGGATCAAAATTGAATATTTGGGCCTTTCACTTGCAGATTACGATCTGGAACATGGGAACAGGATAATATACAGGGGTTTGACAAAACTCTGCTTCTGATTTTGTTTTGGTACATCTTTTCGTCTTTAAAATAATTTTTCTGGTTAACATTAAAATCATGAATACAGTATACAACAATTAATCAAGTCTTTAGCTGAAGATTAATTGGACCCTAAATACCCCCAAAGCTGTCGAACCCTAATGTTGTGCATCTTCTGGATGGAATTTGTCCATCCTTGGAAGGTGTATTTTATTTCATTACATTTTTATCCCACATTTGACCATAACATTCTCAAATTGGCTTACACTCTTCAAAATACAACTTTATCTTTCCCCCTTTCTTCTCCCCAATGTACAAGTTCCCATGTTGCATAGCAACAGTTCCTTCCTCCAAGAGCAAGGGGGGCTTAATACCCTGAGAACCCAGCATGGAGGGTTCAGATTCTGCTCTGCCTCTGAGGTTCACCCTGACCAGTTGCTTTTGTGCTTTTCTCAAGGAGCAGATGGGGAGTTGGCTTTCACCACTGAAGAGCCGCCATTTGAAGCGGAGAATGCCACAGAGATCTTAAACTCAGGTCAGGAAAAAAAGTCATGTCTTCAGGACCAGGGGATTGGTTATTGTTGATGATGAAGAATTCATTGGCACAGAGAGATACCAACAGGGACATGCGTATTCAGCAATTCCACACAGGCTCAGGGATGAGGGTGGGGAGACAGCATTTGTTATTGGCTGTAGAATTCAGAATCCTTAAAATTTTCACTTCTACTTTTAAATCAGGTCTCTAAGACCTAGTGCTGCAAAGATAGGTTGAAATATCTGTGGACAATGCCTGATGAATTCTCATGATGGTTTCCAGTGGTGGATCTTCAATTTAGCTCCTCATTCCTCCTGTTGACAACCCATTGTTTGTATAATGTATACAGATTAGATGGTACAAAATTACCATCTCACGGGATCCTCCTTGCACTTAGAAGGACTCTGATCCCTTCCTGAATTGGTGATTGGGACCCAGGCACATACTTTTTTTTTTGGCATTTGCTAGTATCCATCCATCTGAACACAGAGATTTCCCACATGCCTCTCCATTCCTACAGACCCTTCAAACCCCCAGAAAGATCATCCCTGGCATCATGAGACCAGCATGGGTGAATATCTGCACAGGTTTAGGGGACTAGACTGAGGGGGGGGGAGCAATTTCACCCCCTTGCCATATTTCATGCCAGCCTCCTGACCTGTATGGCTTTTCCAATGCATGGGTCCCACATACCCAGGAATCATCTCTCCAGGAGTCAAAAGGGACTACAGGACTGGAGAGGGAAGTGGGAAAACCCTGTGTTCTGTGTATGGATGGTTGGATGCAGGCCAGGGGGAGGATTTTACAGTTGATAGAAATTTCCTGCTGCAGAATGTGGAGCAGGGTTTCCAGTGAGGCTGCTATAACCTGTGTACTCTTCTTCAATATGAATAAGACTTAAGCTAAACATTCAGCAGAATATTGAGGTAATAGGGTGGACCGTATCATTTCAGCCTGAAAGTGAGGACCACATACTTGAGTGATCTCCCATTTTGGATAGGGGTGGTAAAACCTGGGGTGGGGGAACTAGTACAGCAAGAAGAAAGTCAGTCCAACTTGTCTCTGTTATTCTAATTTACAGTTGGCAGCGTGTTTTTTGATGTAGTGGAGCTCTCAAAGGTCCCCACCCTCAGGCAGAAATTGTACAGTCCATTCTGCCATTTGCTTTAATGCAAGTTTATGTTCCAAGATGGATGTTTCCTTCCTTGTCTATAAAATGGTGAGGTTTCTCTGTTTTCTGTATACTTCCTCTCCAGTTGTGGGAACACAGTTCTCCATGCACTTCAGGCCATCTCTTTTCTCCTTCCTGCAACCTTCCTTCCATTTCACTAAACCCACAGGGTTCCATTGCCTCTGCCTCAGCTTATTCTCCTTTATCCTCCCCAATTTGCTTCTGTTTAGCCCTGCTGTTACCTAACATCCACCTTCCATGAGGGAATCTCTGGTGTGAGGGCTGGGGGGGGGGGGGGGCCCCCCCCCCAGCTCTCCAGAATGTTGATAGTCCTGGTCCAAATAAGCCTGCTGATGGACTGCAGTTTTTTCTTTCTCTCCCCAGATGTGGACAGCTGTGAAAAGTGGTTGAATTGCAAAAGCGACTTCCTCAACAAATACCTGAGCAAAGTACTTTCAGACTTGCCCAGCTGTCCCTGCTCTTACCCACTGGAAGCTGTGTACAGTGCTGTGAACTTGAGAGATGAGCAGCAGGGCAAAAACTTTCGCTGGCGGGATGCCAGCGGGCCCAAGGAACGGCTGGACATCTACAAGCCCACTGCCCGTTTTTGCCTGCGTTCCATGCTCTCCTTGGACAGCACCACGCTGGCCGCCCAGCACTGCTGCTATGACGAGAACACCAAGCTGATCACCCGAGGGAAGGGGGCTGGTGCTCCCAACCTCATCAGCACGGAGTTCTCCCCAGAGCTTCACTACAAGGTAGACATGCTGCCTTGGATCCTCTGCAAGGGAGACTGGAGCCGGTACCATGCCGTGCGGCCTCCCAATAATGGCCATCGGTGTGCCGACAACCCTCCGGAGGACAAGTACCTCTCTCAGCTACAGGAGGCCAGGGAGTATTAGACAGAAAGTGGGGCTAAATTTCCCATACAACTTGCTAAGAGCACGTAGCAGGACCAGGTTTGTTCTTCCCCTTTTACATCAGCGAAGGTCACTGGTTCAGAGTGGCTGCAGAGTTATCCCTTGTTTTTCATTCTCTTGACAGCAAGGTAGCCTGTAGGAAAGCTGTGTAACTTGGCTCTCTAGTCATGTCTTTTCTACGACAGCCTCCAGTTCGCTTCCTGGCGTCCTTGTTATCCCAGCAACTGCCACTGTCCATTTGGCTTAAAGGGAGCTTCTCTCTCCAGAGAGTTTTCTGTAGCCCACAGATTGTCTCTTGGGATTCTGGGAAGAGCCCAGGGAAGTGGAAAAGGGTGGTAGCAATGCCAGGTGAAGGGCTAGTTTTAAAAGAAAGGCCTACCTTACTTATTTTGCATTGCATTTGTGACACTCTCACAAAGCAGACTTGCATGTTCTTGTGGCTCGAAATAATCAGGTGTCTGATGGCTTCACTTAGCTGTCTGACGTGGTTTGGGAGGGATGACATTGCACCAAAATTATGTTTCAGATAAAAGGGAGGCTTTTAGCCTGCTCTCCCAACTTCTGTAATCTGAGATGGTTCCAGGGAAGAGAGAGGGTTGGGTCTTCCCTGTTTCTTATATTACTCACAATTTGGGAGAACCTGGGGAAATGCAAGTTCTGGGATGGGTGTGAAAACACAGCCAGTGAAGTCACTACTTAGGTGAGGGGAGGGGGAGGAAATGACCAAGTATTTCAGTTCCTATTCTTCCCAATTCCTGTTCTTCCCTTTACTTCAGGGGCCTAGCAGAACACCCAGTAGTTACAGCTGTGAAACCAGGTATCCTGGGAAAACTCAATGTTCCTCTGTCTGTAACACCGGGCTAGGGTTGCCAAGTCGTCTCACCCCTTGAAGCAGGGGAGCTGTGCCGTCGTCCGGGAGGTCCAGTGGAGCGCGTGCGCACGCTGGCAGCACGTCACCGGAAGTAACGTGCGACGTTGCTGACGTTGGGGGCGTGGCCGAGCTCGTCGGGGGGGGGAACCATATGACGCAGCTTCAGTGATTCAGCTTTGGGGGTGGGGTTCCCCCCAGGGGCCGATTTAGCCGCGGCGGAAATCGGGCCTCCGAAGCGGGGGATTCCCCACCCCCCGGCCACATTTGGCAACCCTACACCGGGCAGAACAAAGCTCAGGGGCTTCAGCCAAGTCTCTTATCTCAAACACCATGCAGTAATACTAATTTAGATAAAAAGGTTGTCCTTGTCCCTCACCTAGTACTCAGGAAGACAGAGGGAAAGATTTCTCTGGGGAAACAAAATCTCCCAGTCAATGCAGCTCTTTTCTAGGAGAGGGACTGCTTGGTACAGGCTGGGCAGGTGATTCGACCCGGTGATATGTTCAAGGAGCATCACTTTGGGGTTAGAGCAGCCCATGCTGCCATGAAAGAGTCCAGCTGTGGCTTTCTCACGTCACTGTATGGTTTCTTGCCTTGAGAGTGGGGGCAGGGCCACCTTCATGCTTTTAGTTTGGTTCTGATTGTCATTTTTATTTATTGGGTGGGGGATCTGAAATCTTGTGATCCAGGCCTTTTTATCGTGGCCGGTGTAAGAGAGGCTGTGACAGGGAACCCTGGACAATAAGAGATGTGTTAGAGAAAAGAAAGAACTGGGAGCCGTGTTTAAGAGAAGGGTTAGTACTACAGCAGTGCAGAAAAGACCTCCAACTCTGTGCCCAATAGGCTGTGCAAATTTAATTTGCTTGCTGACCAGTGGAAATCTTATTTATCCTCCTTCCCCCCCCCAAACCTGTTTGTGAGGTATTACCAGGCATTGCCTGTAAAAACTAGATCATCTTTTTAAACATTGCAAATTTAGGTTTTCATTGGCCATTGATTTCTGTGTCCAGGAATAACTTTTTCACATTTGTGTGCAATCCCAGAATGTGTACTGCCACTTTGTCATTCTCTGGCAATAGAAACACCACGAGCGATTTCGCACTAGAGCTGCCTCGCGGCGCAGCCCCGTTTGCCCCGACACAAATTTGTTAATTTCACACCCGAGGCTGCGGGGCTGCATTTGACCCGCGGCTTCGCCCGATTTCCTCCGCAGTTTCTTGATCTTCAAAAACCAGGATCACAAAACTGCGGAGGAAATCGGACGAAGCCACGAGTCAAAATGCAGCCCCGCAGCCTCGGGTGTGAAATTAACAAATTTGTGTCAGGGCAAACGGCGGCACACCGCGAGGCAACTCTAGTGCGAAATCGCCCCACCTCTCAAGGTATTTGTGTTTTCTTGGCAGCATGAAAACTGGGATCTTGTTTCTTAACATGAAAGCTCTTGTGCACAAGATTCTGTTAACATGGCAAAGTTCTGTGTGTGGCAAGCTTCACATTTTGTAGCATTCCTAAGATGAGTCACCATGAAAAACAAATCAGCTTTGGAGCATCACAACCATACCAGTAAACCCCCTTTTTTGTTTGCTGTTTTTAAATGTTTATGTGCTGTCTTTTCCTTCAAAGTTCGGATTTCTGGCAGTATTGGCTAAGTATTCCATATTACGCTGTATTGGGGGTGGTTCTGCTCTGACATCTAGTGGCTACGTAGCAAATGAATTGGCTTGTATTTCTGCGGGGAGTCCCCAGTTAAAGCATCTTACAGGTGGTAGGTATCCTGTGGGTTGCCCAAACCTACTTTTATCTGCCTTCCCTCCCAGTAGAATTTTCAGCCCCTTGGCTTTCATTGCATTCAGTGGCTCAGAGCACAGCATCACCTGAAACCTAAAATCACCCTCAGGGGGCCGTGCCTGTGTGCATTGCTCAGGACACCTCCGAGCCCTGGATCACTTTTTAAAAACTCACCTGTCCTTAGCACAACACATATTACAAGCTGCTGTATTTTTAAGTATCAAGTGCATCAGAGGGTTTGGGTTCTTATTTTTACATGAGATGCAAGATGGGAAATTTGAGACTGGGATGTAATACAATAGGCTGTCTACCCAACTTTCTCTCTCTTCCTCCAAGGAGCTTGGGGGGCACCCTACATCATTCACCACCTTCCATTTCATCCTGACAACTACCCTGGGAGGATGGTTAGGCTGAGAGCCGGCGATTGCCCAAGGACACCCAGTGAAACTTATGGCAGGGGGTGAGGCCCCCCCAGTTTTTGAGGAAGAGACAGGGGGATGGGACAGAATCAGCTTCCCCCTCTTTCAGATGGCAGGAGCTTCTACAGCTACCATTGCCTGCAGTCACCTGGCTTCCAGATCACCTTGGATCAAGCTCCCGGTAGCCTGAAAACATGCTGACGGATTGCTGGGAACCAATAGCTATGCTCTAGGAGCTCTGATTGGTTGAGTGACACCAAAGAGATACAACACTAATACTTTCCTTTACAATTGTCACCCCAAAATCCTCGTGAGTTCTGGGCTATACTCAGAGGCACAGTTCCCTTTCCTTGAGAGTGTCCAGTCTTAGGCCTTGTTGCCACATTCAAGAACTCTGCCACTTCATTCTATTACTTCAGGTGTCCACCACCTGCAGGTGTGAGCGAGGGCTTAACTATACATTATGAGCCGTCCTGTGACCACTTTTAGAGGATGTTTTATTTACTCGATTGAGCAGCCAAGGCTGCAATTTGAGGCAAAAAACCTAGTGTGGAAGAGGAGGGGTTTCTGTAACTATCCCTGTGAGGGGAAAATATATCTGTATTTCCCAGTATGTTCTCCCCAGTGGACATAAAAGTAAACTGAGGAAGATAGTTGTAGTTACACTCTTGCTTCCATTTAGTGTGCCCGGAATCAAGGTGCACATCCTTTTGGTTTCAGTGGACCTCACTTACATCTAACAGCTACGATCCAGAATCCGTGCCCAGCTGACAATGGGGGTCTATTTGCATATTAAGCAAAGGATTGCAGGCATGCCTTGCTGGCAATAGGAATGCCTCCAGTTGCTACAGTGGGAAAATCTCTAGGTCATGGATGCCTGTGAGAATTGGATCTTTCCTCTTCTAGTGTATCCAATATCATAATTCCTACATGTACCTTCGTGCCCCCTGCCCCCAGCCCTGAGCTTCGTAGCCACGTTTGGATGAGTATTAAAACAGCAAGTGTTTATTTTTATACCGTGTAACTAAGATTCTGTCCAGTAATTGCTATTTAAGCTTTAAAAAGTTTTTGTATTTCATCCTATGCACAGAAAATATTGCTATATCAATACACCCTGTTTGTATATAGATATATATTTTAGTTCTACAAAATGGCATTTATGAGATCACCTTTATTCTGACTTTAGATGAAAGCACTTTATTTCAAAATGTGTGTGTTTGTGACCAATATGATTTGTTTATATATTGCTGGAGAGTTTAGTTTGGTTTGAAAGGGACAACACGGTATTAATTGATGCCCTATTTTAGGGATCCATCATGAGCTCATTCAGTAAGGACCCGGAAAGTTTTGTCACCCTCCTTTTCTGTGTGGTGTTTGTGTTTTGATTGCAATGGGTGAATCCCAGAGCAAAGGACATCCGGATATTTGCTTACAGAACATGGGTGTCTGGGATGGGGGCTGCTCCGAAGAATCCTGGTTCTGGGTCAGGTGGAAATCAGGCTTTCCTGTGGCATTTTAGCATTCCTGTTTCCATGTGGGAAAGGGGAGCAGGCGTTGGGGAGAACGGCATACCTTTCTGATGCTTTCCAAAGAAGAATGAATGTTTGTATGTGGTTCAGGGTGGGGGTGTAAGGACTTGGGCAGATTCTTCTCTGTAGCTGGTTCGCCCATCCCAGCTGTTCAGTCTTTCCCTTGTACAGTATTTATTGGTTGTGATAGCTGAAGGAATGGAGAGATGTTGTGTTGGTGAATGAGGCCTCACTCTTGGGGGATGTATGTGTGTGAAGTGCCAAAAGGGAAGCAAGATTGCAGATGTCTCTTATGAATAAACTCTATTGTTAACACACCACAAGCCCTTGCCTCAGTTATTCAAGAGTGGAAAGCAAGGAACCCTTTTTTGATTAAGGTAAGCAAACTAATGTCCAGAACTTGCAGGGGTTGTTAAGAACTGGAACACTGAACCATGGTTTGTCTCTGTTCAGTTTTATAACCTGTCTTTTGCATGAAGCAGCAAACCTTCTGTGGAGTCTCCTGGCGGGAGTGGGGTGGGGAGTTTAGTGGATGGTCCTTCCAATAGCAGCCTGTAGCCTAATATTCAGCAAAGTCTGAAGTGTTCCTCCAAGCTATGGAGCCTTCCTTTGACTTGTGACTCTGCTTTCTAGAGAGAACAGCCCCGTAAGCTGGAGGAATGCTTCAAACTTTTCTGAAAATGGTAGGATACAGGCCAGCTTGTTTAGAAGTGTGAAAATAGCTGGAAGAACATATTCATTATTAGTAGGACAATTCGTGGATGGAAGATGTCAAATAAGTGAAATGGTTCCTTTGTACTGGACAAACATAGACATTCAGGTACCTAGCACCGTGTGGAAACTTGCTACAACATGAGGCTACTGAATTGCCTAGTAAGTGTGAGAACTTCTCCTATTCCATGGGTCTAGTGTAAACACCTTGCTGAAGTGGGGGTGGCTGTAGCTGAGGAGCCTAGCTTGATCCCTGTGTGGATAATTACAATCTGGACCAGAGTTCTTAAGAGTGGTGTGTTCTCATCCAGGTTGTGAAGAGATGTACACAGTCAAGTGCCTGAAAGGGGTGGGGGAACCAAAATACCTGGGAATGCATTAAGATCTGTCTGTTCAGTCTGCATGTGCAAGTACTTTATACCTCTTCCCTCTTGATTTTGACCGACTCCCACCTCCCCAGCCTCATGTGTGTCCTTGGTGAAAGTATCATCATTTGAAAGAAAAATGGCTAACAAATCTGACTGGACCTAGGAGGAGGGGGCTTGTGCTTGGACAGAGTGTAGAGTGGGATTTCATATGCTCTGTTGTTCGGGAGAGCTGCAGGAGGGACAGAATAATTACCCCGCTTCTTGGGTTTGTTCAACAGAGATTTGAGAGGGGCTGTGGGAAGCTTACT